GAGCCTTTCCAGTGAGCCACAGTAGCAGCACACTGACTCTGTTTGACCTGAATGGAGCTGAACTTTAACTGGTATCATTGCTAACACACGTTTAACCTATGATTTCATGACAAATTGGATGCTGTGAAAAAGGTCTGTTGCCTCCACGAGCTGCTGCTGACCATGTTGGTAAACGAGCCAAATGAGCGGGCCAAACTTCATGTTATTTTTAGATCACAGGCTTGCACCTGTATCTTTCATCTCACGGAGTATCTTTGGCTCATATCTCTCCCTCTGCGTCTCCTCCTCCAGCTCTCCCACACCCCCCCAAGGAGGCCAAGCCTCACAGTTTCAAATCCTTAAATCGATTCAGCTCCACCGACGTGATGTTTTCATCACAAATTTCAGATACATTTATCGTGCAGCAGATTTTCTTTTAGTCTGTGTTAAAATACCCAATGCATACAACCCCCTTATCACAACGCCTCTCTAGTAAAGTGCTGCACTGATAATGGATCCTCTCATTTGAAGGATATTAGGTAAATACTACAGCAATTAAAAGGCTGACTGCGTGAGGGGAGTCCAGCTGTGACCCTAGGATGGTGTGAAGACATAAAGCAGCTGGTTGTATCTCGCACCTCATTGGAGCTCTCCTCCCCAGACATCTGCTAAGAAGATGGACGACCAATAAAAGAAATGGATTTGCCTAGACACCCAATTTCCCCGACGCCCTCCCTCCCAAACATTTGCCCGTAAATCTTGGCTATGTTGTGCAGACCGCAGCTGTGATTCCTAAACCTCTCCAAACTTTTCCCCCCTTTCTCTTACTTATTTGTCATTTCCACACCTTATATTCCTCAGTTATTAGTTCACCAAGTGTGTGTCTCACAGTGAAGTTGGAGCCGATGCTCGAAGGGGAAAGGAAGGACAGATGGCAGACATTCATTATAGCCTTCCTCCATCGTTTTGGGTGTCCCTCCCCAACTGGCCAGTGTACCCGTCACTTTGGTATTAGGGTAATGACATGGTGATCAAATAGTGGAGAAAAGCTATTTGTGAAGCATTACAGTGTAATTTAAAGCCTCACTCTGCACCTGAGACTGACAAGACTGATACCGCTCTCACATCCGAGACAGAAGAATCTCAGTGCAGAAGGTGACCTTCTATACGACAAAGACAGGAACAATCACCTCTGTGTGTGTGAGTCTTTTCATGTACCTTACAGGGGCCAGGCCCAATCCAAAAGCTATCATTTAAAGCTCTGTATGTGTCAAGGTTGTTAAACAGGTGGACACAGTGGGAGTGTGATGTAGTAACTTGTTTGAAAAGCAGAAAGGAAACGGCATCCCTTTAGTGAAACGGCACAGATGTCCGCTGCACACGTGTTCAGTTCAAATTCATGACATTGTTCAGCTCTGTACCTGCACGCATCTGGAGTGTGTATTTGATGATGTGCAGAGTGGTGAGCTTCTGAGTGCAGCTGGCTTCAAGAATGCCAGGGATTTTTTTTTATATATCAGTTCAGAGAAATGCTGGATTGAACACTTTGAATCAGATTGAATCAGGACTAGCTTAAGGGCTTAGTGCAGATGAAGTTGCACGATGGCCCTGCTTGATCTGTGATGACTCAGTGAAGTCTTAGAGTTTTTAATAATGTGTATGCATCTGCGTGTGTTTTTTTTGTATTCAGAATTTCATATTGCACGGCGGACAAGATGCATGACAAAGTGTTTGCCTACATCGTCCAGAGCCAACACAATGAGACTCTGGAGTGTCATGCCTTCCTCTGCCCGAAGAGAAAAATGGTAAGTAAATGAGTTTGTGCAATTATGTGTCTGACAATACCCACTGTGTGTACAAAGTAGACACACAGTTTGAACTGGATCCAAAGATTAGATATAAAGTTTACTGCTTTTTTCGATTTCTCTTTTCTCATAAAAAGTATATGGGAAGATTATAGGAAATGTGCTTATATGCTTTTTTGTTGAAAGTAAGATGAGAAGATCAATACGACTCTCAGACATGAGAGTGGTATCTATCTTCTCATCCAACTCTTGGCAAATAAGCGAATAGCCCCAATTTTGGAATTATTCTTTTCATGCTATTGGTTGCATATAAACACATGCATGCCTCTGGCAATCTGTGGAAAGCACTGTATGCAGTTACAGAATGTTGCAGAGAGACCTGAGAACAACTGCACCACCACCTTGAGGCACGCTTTGTTTGTATCTATGCAAACATCCAAGTATTAAGTCAGGAAAGATGAGGAGTAAGAACATAAAGGGCGGGGGAGGTTGTCATCTCTCTCTGGCATTCTCTCCATCCCTGGAGGTTTGCAGAACGAGGGAGCCACTCCCTCCTCTTCCTTCCCCTCTCTAATTTAGTTCTGACCAAAAGGCCACGTATCCTCCCAGTTACATAAACAACGTGTCATGGAACTCACGGGTTTCTCTTCCTCCTCTTCAAGTGTCTGTGAAGGAACTCCTTCTTGTGTTGGTGGTCAGTTCCTGTTTTTAGCACGGTCATAACTCCTTCCTTGATGCCCCCCCCACCCCCCACCGCCAGAGCTGTGATGCTTATGAATATTATTCATCTTCCTTTAATTCCTTCACGTTATCTTTCTGTCTCACTCTTGTCTGTCTCTGCTTCCCTCCAATAGGCCCAGGCGGTAACCCTAACAGTGGCTCAGGCTTTCAGAGTGGCGTTTGAATTCTGGCAGGCTGCCAAAGAAGGTACGCATGGTCACCCCCGACGACCAGAGGAGTGTGATGGATGAGGGAAAACGTTCCCCTCCTCTCCCCTCTCCTCCCCCACTGTTGTTATTCTCTCCACTTATTGTACACATCCTCTGTCTCCCTTCTTAGTGAAACAGCGATCCTATCTTTTTCCTCTACGGAGGTTTCCCGCACAACGTGGAAACATAAATTTTTTTGTGTCTTCCTGGTCTTGGCCTTGACACTCTGTAGAGGGGTCATGTGAAATACTGGAGGACAGCTCGGCTGTTCCTGCCAGTCACTGTTATCCTTCACACACGCACTCACATACGTGTCCCCATTGATTGAACCAGTCCCCCCCCGCAGTGGTTAAATCATTGCCCAGAGAGCACAGAGAACTGTTTTAGTTCAGTGACGCCTCTTTATTACAGGCAACTCAGTCATGGTTAAAGACTCATCTAGGTATCGACATGGGGGGGAGGAATTAAGGCTAGCCTGTGGCAGAGATGGGCTGACTGGAGTAAATCTTCTGTTTCCTTTTACAGTGAGAATAGGACTCAGATGTGTGGGAGCTGGGATTTTCCCAGGTTATATTTTACCTTTACTGCAAAAATGTTCTTTTCCTCATTATACATTTTTATTTTTCTGTTTTATGTAAAACTTGTAAAAGCATTCAACCTTTTTAAATTTGTGAGCACCTTTTTAATAGTAGAGTACAGTGAGGCGATAAGCAGACAGTGCGTGTTCAGGCACAACCGTGGACACAGCAGGCGATCAAAGTGCTGTGTAAGGATGGTGTCACACATTCTTTTGTACAGCTCAGCAGAACATGCATGTAATTTACTGCATGTGCGACTCCAGAGTAAATGAGCAGTTCTTTCCACATAATATAGGTTTTTTAATCACCACCCCCTCTCATCTTCTTCATCTTCACACAAGTGTTGCCTTGTAGGTGCTCTTTGAATTTTGTGATTATCCGTTGTTGCCGTCTGCCTTGTTTTGCACCTGGCACCTTCACCCCCTCTTCCTCGTCGAGTTTTCTTTTCCCTCTCCTCCCCCCATCGCAGCACTTGCTTCTGTTTATTATATGTAGGGAGACGGGCAATGGAGGGGGGATGGGGGGATGAGGAGAGAGGGCAAGAGAGCATGAAAGGCGGGGCAGAGAGGGGTGTCGGGATGGGGAGCGTGTGAGAGAGAAAGGAAAATGATTGTGCGCGTGTGTCAGTGGGAGCTCAACCCCCTGACAGATTCAATGTCGGTGCCATTGATCCTGTCTCACACAAAGGCGAGCTTATTTATTCAGTCCTTTAGAGACACACACTTGCACTGTATGAAAATTCTACTTGCCTCTTTTATTTACTCCACATTTCAACCCCTTCTTCTTCTTCTACTGTGATGTTAAGGAATGTTTTAATGTGGGCAGTGGGCACATTTCCATTTTTGGGAGGGATTATTTTTTTCTCAAGATCAAGGCCACGGGCTCCTCGCCTCACGCCTCTTCATTTGGTTGTTTGTATTTTTGAGTTGAATATTAAAATCTGCTTCCTCGCTCTCTCTTTCCTTGGCTCAACATTCTTCACCTCTCCTCGTCTTCGCTTTCTAGCCGGGCCCAGTAACCCGTTTAATTTGCCGATCTGTTCTCTTCTAGTTCAGTACGATGTCACTGATGAAGGAGAGCTGATGCCTAGTTGGTAGGGGGTTACGGAGGGGAAAGGAAGAATATTTCTTTTAAAAAAGAAGCAGCGGTGTTCTCTTGTGGCAGAGAAGAAGAAAGAGCGAAAGGGGGAAAAAATCATTTCAAGTCTGTTTTTATTAAAGTTACAAAACCCCGGAGGATCAGGGCAGGAAGAAGGGGTGCCTGCTGTATGTCTGTCTAGCTTTGCTGCTTCCGATTCTTACAAACTCTTCCCCCACCACCCACAGTGGTTCTCCACAGCCCACCACACATTCCTGACCCACATTCCTCTGAATATTGCAGATCCCATCTCTGTTCATAGAATATTCACTGTAAACACTACAGCTAGCTTTGAACTGGCGTTTCTTTAAGTATCAGACTGAAAACTGTACACTGGAAAGGCCATGGGAGAAAAACAGGTACCTGGGGTAATTTCTGTAACACTGCCATCACTAGGCTACCCAGACTGATGGGAAATGGGACGGGTTTTTTTTTTTAGACCAAGCATGATGATGAAATAACAGAACACCTTCTTGCCTGTGAGCAGGCCTCTTTAGGATAAACAGTATGGAAAGTCTGAGTTTGAGTGGGGTCAGCATCTTGGCCCCTCGAGGGAGTTCTCACACTTGCTCAGAATGTCAGTTTGTGTGGTTCCCCTGCGATATTTTAGAGAGAGGTGTTTATTTATGCATTTCTGAATAAATTAGTTATCAAGCGTCTCAGAGAAGGAAAAAACTTGTACATTTGATCTATCTTAACTTAAAAAAAAACACTCCTATCTCTGCTGTTATTATGAGTCCTAACCTGTTCGAAGTTCCCAGGAAATGGCATTCAGGCAGAGAGATTGTGTGACAGGAGAGATGTTTAGGAGCTTATGATGACAATAGGCTTATTGAAAGATTGTTTTGAATAATATTTGAGACTGACCTTGTGTGGGATGCACAGGGAATAGGACACGAGGGAACAAGGACAATACAGCTTCTGTCAGAGCCCACACTTTGGGAAGTAACAAATCAGACTTTGATCACACTTACACGGCTCATAATGCGCACAATGAGAGTCCTCCTTGAAAGAGGACTAAAACTTATTTGAACACAATCATGTCGCCCTGGCTGGTTGTCAGCAGCATAATAAAGGCCATACAACAGTATACTGTAAGTTCATATTGTAACAATGCATTTCCCAAGAGTGTGTGACATTGCAGAAAGAATAATCTTTCCTGTCATGCACACATAAGTGAATAACGGATGTATTTGAAAGGTGAAGTGGACAGTGGAAGAGAGGATTCCATGTTGCACCACAGCACACAGATTTTGCAACATGTGCCTGTGCAAGCACTATTCTAGGAATCGTAAAACCATGTGGTTGGATGGGGCTAATTTCTCACAGCTGAGTCAAATTAACCTAATATTTTAATTTACCGAATAAGCTTTTATTGCGTTTATTTAAATGTTTTGTTTCCAGTCTACTAATTGTCATATTTGTAAATATCATCTTATTATTAATTTTGTCATAATATTTTAGCACATATAACAGTTGTAGGTCACCATAGTTATTTACCTATATGTATAGGACGTACACATAATAATATAAAGTATTATTTTCTGCACCTTGAATGTCACCACTGTCTAATATTTCAAACCGTGCTTGAATTACAAAACGTCATCATAGTTTCTTCTTGGCAGCTATTAGTGTTGTGAAACAGTAACATCTCACCCTCTCCTAGGAGTACTCCTGTTTCTTGCTGATAGCCGGTGTATGAGGCTGTATGGATTACTCTCAAGTCCCACTCTGATGTAGGAGAGTTTTTAGCCCCAGGTTAACTTGAATAACTCTGACATGCTTGATAGATATGGGGCCAGAAAAGACTGTACTCCATACCGAGAGCAGTGCAGGAAGTACAGTGAAAATTTGCACTGTGTCAAAACCTATTATCCATCTGACCCCGATGCTATGCCTACTCTGTTTAAATGCTGCTGATACTGTACTTATTACTGCATGAAGTATGGCATGTGTAACAATGTTGGAAGCCCAGGCCCTCTAGGTTTCAGCTGGCAGATGGCTTGAGTAATGGCCTTAACCTTATCTGCCAACTTGCTGCTGCTAATTTGTTTACACTCACTTT